AAACTGACTTTTCATACTGTTCCGAAGTCTTCAGTTCAGTTGACCGTCGTAGAAATACTCTTATAAATGAAGCGAAGTTCCCACTTGTTTGCGTATTATACATCAACGACTGCAGAAAATCATTTAATGATTCGTCGAATGCACGTGCTTGAACTCTGGAAACGCCGTCATGAAGAACATAATCACTGTATACAAAACAAAACGAAATGCTGCGTTTACTTTCTAGTTGTTATTCTAATGCAGTTAAATCATGAGGATAATGCTAACGTTTCAACGTAAAGATCGTTCTCCTAGGGTCACATTCCGAAAAGATGAATAGTCAAAAGAATCTCAGTCGTAAAAAATCATATGAATACTCTATAGAGTAATCCGATTTTAAGTAACATAGAATGGAGGACCTCGCAGCTACCTATTATAAGGGTGCAGCTTAGGAATCAAAGTGTTAATGAAGAATGAAATGCATTTGCCTACTTACACTCGATTCAGATCTTTATAGTCCAAGTGGGGCGGTGGTAATTTACACATTGAACGCCGCGGCGTTTTTGCGGCGACTCCCGTTTTTACTTCCTGCGTCTCCGCGCGCGTGAATTGCGTGCAATACACAAACGCGCGAAACGGGAGTCTTTGTGCCGCATGCCCCTTTACACGCTCATTCTGGTTACTTTTGCGCTCATTTCTACATTGTTCATTATGAATGATGACTTCTTTTAGCTGCATAGATGGATCTGGACAACGTAGAAGATCTAAACGTCAGTTTTGACGACATAAGTATTGTTATCATAATCAATTAAACACTATCAAACGTATTGTAAATTAACACTTATTATCAGAAGTCTTACTACCATTGTAGTGATGCGGAGCTATCATAAGAGGTGGAATTACCGACCGCGCAACGTATTTTGTAATATTAATGAATTACTTCAATGAGCAGCTTCTTTCGCGCCATCAAGAACTAAGCATAAGCAAAGCTCACTGAACATATACTTAGGTGAAACTGATTCAAGTCGCACTCGTGTATTGTGGGCAATACACAAACGCGAGAAACGGGAGTATGCGCGTGTATTGCCGACAATTCACGCGGCGTTCAATGTGTTAAAGATAGTGCGATATTGCGTACATACTAAGCGGCAGCGTTCTCAGCGTCTGTTAGCCTTTTGAGCGTTTCGACCGATCAGGATAATATAGGTAACGATCTAGTTTTGAGCGATTAGGAAACTATAGGTATAGGGTTCTAAGCGTCCGCCAGCGGTACTCAGCGGTAATCGATATCAACGCATTCTTAGTCGCCCAAAACGTTGGCGGAGGTTCAAAATGCTGGTGACGCAGCGCTGACAGAAATTCAAAACGTCGTCGCAAAGTATGAGCGCTTTCTAAGGCTGCATTAATTATTTGCCATTTTTTTGCAGAGTCGGAGAATAGGCCATAAAATAATGAGCGCAAAGGAAAGTATACGTATCGGAGGATAGGAGAAAAGGAGGGTATGAGAATAAGAGACGCGCGGATCTAGAGAAAGTTCGCCAATGATTACAGTGGACTAATCGACTCAATGTAATGACATGAGAGACTCGGAGAAAACAAAAGGAAAAGTGGAGCAGTTTTAGGTTGGTACTTATTTGCGCGGCTTCTTGGATTCTCCAGTGCCACAAAGAATGCGATGTAAAACAAGAAAAGAAAAGGTGCTAACTCACGTGTCATAGTCGTCGATCTTGAGATTGAAAGACAGTAAATTGTTCCAAAAAGGATCGATGTCAGTAATGGGATCGGTTCCAGTGAACCTCTGTAGCGGCACATTTTTAGCAATGGGTGTATCGGAACTAATCACGCCACCCATCGTATCCACATCCACTGCAAAATATAAGTTACATAGTATTGAAAAGAGGTATAAATGACATGACACACTGTGCACACACATACACTCCTTATCCCTGAGCCAGAGTAGGCGTGGCATTTGAACATGGCACGGAACTGGTTACTCGTGGAATATTCCAGTCTGGGACAACTGTCATCTTGTTCTGTGTTGGACAGAGACACGACAACAGTTGTGTCAAGATGGAAATATTCCACCAGAAGCATAGACACCTTCAGGTTAAGTTGAAGAATGCAGCCCCGCCTACCCGATCTCAGGGATTTCGAGTATATGTTCATTCCGCAGATGAGCTGGAGTGGCTGCGAACTTTGTTTAAAAGTGGCCGCGGCTGCGCTTTTGGTGTTATATTGGTGTTTTGGGACAACTGTGACCACGCTCTTGCCCAGCATAAGACAGGAAAGGATGATAGTTGTCTCAAATGACAATATCCCACGATTAATTCATACGATGCCAGGTTCAAAAAAAGTACGTAGTCATGCCCTCCCAATCTCCGGGATACGTGCATAAGAGTGAATAGTTATACTGATCATTTGATCAGAAATCAGAGGGAACAGGACCACAGATGACTTAATTGAAATAAAACAAAGGCATACTGTTGAACAAATATTAGTAACAATTCATTTTGTGGCTATGCCAGAAAAGTGACCAAATAGCTGAAACCAATCACTGAGACCATAATGACGCGTGACTAAGTTCAGATAGAGCTTTTGTAAGTAATATAAACTTTTTACTGTTAGTTCTAGTCTATTCTGAACATTCCTCTGAGAAATGCACACAACCATCCATACGATGGCTAGAAATCAGAATTAGTTAAGTGGTTCCAAGGTAATGCGGCTCATCAAAGCGAAACAGAAACTACATGTTGAATGAATGCCAGCAAGCAATTATTCGTGATGTTGTTGGAAGCACGTCTCAGAAAACTGAACATTTTTCTTGAGAGTTCTTTAAGCCTTGCACGTTGGCCTAGTCTTCGGACCCACCATGAATGCCCGGTCCACTTTTTCATGTTTTAGTATTTTCCATTTGAATGTGGGCCACGAATGAGCTTTATTACGTGGCATTCTGTAGCTGCAGACAAGCAAAGCCCCTGGAGAATCTCAACAAAAAGGCCATATTGGACCCTGCAGGGCTGCTGCAGTAGGACCTGTGTGACTTATTTTCAACCCGAACAAGAAAAAATGCGTCAGGTAACTATAAAATTCAACTCACCATAGGTCAGATAGCCAACGGAGCACGCCTGTGAACTTCGCGCTCCATGGCAATTACGTGCGCGCTGAGCACTTTTGCCTGATCAGGGTAAAAGGCAGTCGCGAACTCGTCCACTGCATGCTTGCAAGATATCGTCGTGGGTGGCCCCAGTGGGTAACAGGGTTTGATCTGCCATGTTTATTCTCTTTGAGGTGCTTGTTCTGTTACGGATAATGAGATCGTACATTGCTGCAGCCACCTGAGAGCGCGAAACAACTCCGGGCGCCACAGGACGTCATGGCGATGAGGGAAATGTTGATGTTGGTGCGACTCCCTTTTGCATAACGAACAATTCAGGACTCTTCTTAGGTTTTAAGCTGGAACTAGTGGGTTCTTCTCAACTCACTGCCGCTGACACAGCACAGAAATTACCTCAGTTTCCCAATTCCCGGAACTTCCCATAAACGTTCCTACTGATTCAATGGCACCTAAGTAACCCAAATACGACACCTTTTCACGGAAATGTTTCCTGATGTGGATTCCTGCGATTCCTGCGAAGACGAGTGTTCGGGTTGTTGGGTAACAATCATGGGGTATCTCTAGTTCGAGGGTCCAATGTGTCGAAAGTAACTTGCTTTAAACGATATTAACTAATCAGCAATCCAAATCCGGATGCTGCAATCTGCCAATCTCAATCTACTGAGTGGAGCGGTTCCTTAGAATAACAAATCATTGATGTCCCGTCCCGTGAACGTCCCGAAACCTATGCAAGGTCATCGTGAAACTGCGGGAGCGCATGACATAGCCGAGGCCCCTATGGGCGGAGCCAGTAGTCAGGACGACTTGTCGCGCAGTCTTCGTGCGCTCATGGTTTTACTTTTAAAATTCTGAGCTCTTATTTCACATATTTCTGCCTCTATACCAGTCTAACTTGGCCTTTCAGTGGCAATTACTTCTCTATATCAGATTGACAAGCCTCAAGAACATTTTTGTGCGCCAAACGAGGCAGAAGAGTGAGCTATGACGGGCATTTGTTCGATTTGTGATGGATTGGCTATGTTAAAAACCTTTTATTTCCAAATGCAAGGTTCTTAGATGCTGGACCTTGCCATTACAGCTTCTCCATGCAGTTTTCTCTAGAACTGGTTGGATAAGACGCGCAGAATTATAGTGAAGACTTGTGCTCTGCTTTCTTGCCACAGTACGAGTCCTAGTCATAGGAACTGTCTTTTTTAGCCCAGTGATGTAAAAGGTAGTCGAAGTCGGTATTGCAGTCCTTTTTCTCCTCAATTTATTTGATTTTGGCTACATCGTTTGCCTTTTGGTCCGAGGAGGTGTAACGAGTCTACTCCTATATCCTATTCCTATATATTGCTGTATTATTCCTGTATTATTTACTATTTTATTATAATTTTCCTTCTCCTATTCCTATATATTCCTATATTATTCCCGCATTATTTACTATTTTATTATTATTGTATTCCTTTCTCGTGTACAAAGGCACGGCATAGTTGAAGGATCCTCATCAATGGGAGCCATATTTGAGTGGCTCTGATGAGAAGGCGGGGAGAGCTCGAGGGTGTGGGATTTTGCAAAAAATAACTGTTGTTGGGGTTGCAGTGCATATCCCATCCCCTAATTCCTCCCCACTGCGCTTCACGAGTTTTTTTGGCAGGTAATCGTATAGAGGCAAGAAAAGCTTTGAGGTCAAGGAGTTACACCGGTTACACCTTACCTGGAGCAGCTGTGCAGAGTTGTGCTGGACGAAAGTTTTCTCATTGCCATGCCACACCCTGGCCTCAGGGGGAACTAGTGGGAGGGATCGGTCCCTTTTTTAGCCTATTTCGAAAAGCATATTCGGATGCTGAATTCTAAATCAAGAAGCTTTTTTACTAACAAAGCACTCTCCAGGGATTGGTTTCCCTGTTTTCGCTTATACTTTTGCTTATTTATGACCATTTAGGACCTTGAATGGGTATTGGTTCTACAGGCGACCTGTTCGCGAGGAGGCCACTGCCCCGCCCACTGGCAACATCAACGCCCAAGCTTCATTTCTAAAAATGTTCTGGTGTTGCGGTTGTTTCGCTACAGATCTTCATTTCGAGTGGTGAGGAAAAGGAGCTGAAGCCAGCAAGTGAGAACTCGTCCGACCACACCCCTCCTTCGCTTCAGCGCATACAACCGCGATTCGGCACGGATTCTTTTTTGTTTTTTTCGCTATCTTCTCATCAGGCCGCACAGCTGACCATTTTTAAACGTGTCTTTGAAGACAGCTCCAGCGATAAAAGTGTCATGGATAGTTGTTTTATGAAATAATAGCTGACAGGTAATTCCTCAAAGAAGAGAAAAAGCAAGAAGAGCCTGAATTTGGGGTTACGGTAGCGTGCATCTTTTAGTGTAGTGTGGTGCGTCGAGCTTTTGCACCACGAAAATTGGGTCGCTCGTGATTTTTACGCGTTTTACCTTGCAAGATGGGTTGGAGTTGACTGTATGTGCTCCTAATAAATAAAATGTAATAAAGGAGAGCAGAACCATTCATGGGCACGAGCGCGGTCAGCAAAAAGGGCATGCAATTCCGATTAATGCCCGCCGCCCCAACAAAGAACAACTGAGCGGCTCTCCGTCAGAGGGCATCTAGCAAGTGGGCGGTCCAACTGGGCGGGCGTTAGAACTAGAACTTTCAGCGGCTGTAGCTCGCTCCTCGCTCGCTGTGGAGTCGCGAGACAGTCTCTAGCTTGGGGGCTGTACTACTTGCACAAGGAAGGACGACCATGTACTACTCGAGCGCGGGGGCTGTCTTTAATCGTCAACCATGAACTCTTTCTGTCTCTCCCTTTGACAAGTGACAGATAGAATGGAAGTTCTCACGGTACTTCCATTAGTCTCACTGTATTGCTGATGTACTCGCTCATCATTCACGAATGACTGCACAATTCTCATTTCTCAACTCCCTCTCGATCTTCTCAAACTTGAATCCTTACCTTTCCTTCCCTTCTCCTTTAGTTTTTTAGAACCTCGCCTCATGGTATACTGCAGCACACACGCAAAATTCTGTTTCTTTCCCCACAGTTTTCACGACTTCGGCCAAATACGACTTTTTCACAGTTTATTCATTTTCTGCCTCCCTGATTGTAGGCTCCTCGACCACGCCATGTCCTGACCAAAATGCATCTTTTCTCATTTCCTCTGATATACTACAGCAGGAAGTTTTGATCCTTTCGTTTCACTCTGTAGAAACTAACCTCAATGTAGCTTATCATCCTCAAGATCACTTCGGAAACATTACCCGACTCTGCTCTAGATTAGGGCGGAGACGACTCAGGTGCCACACATAACCAGTGGAGAGCGGTTTCTTTAGAATGTAGCGGTGAATATTACTTGATTTCGTGAGTAACTCCTAAGCTTACTTCCACGTTATGGGGGGGGCAGTCACCTGGACTGTCGCGTTTCCCATAATGTACTTCTTTTCGTTGTCACCTCATAGGTACGCTCTAATGAGGGCAGCAACTGTGCTGACGTCGCCGTGCATATAACCAGCAATCAGAAGTACGCTTTATGAGATATGGTAAACCATAGTTTCAAACTGAAGGAAATGCTGTTGTGTATGATGAGTGGTTTCTCTGGCTCCTGATTCTTTCAAATAAATATTATTGTATTATTAAATTAGGTGGATCCAGTACTACATTGCACGAAGGTACAACAATCACTTGATGCTACAGAAAACGAAGAAAGGAATGAAACAGATACCAGCCAGCAGGATTGAGAAGGGTTCCTGT